TATTCAATATTTTATTTAATCCTAAACTTATTTATATTTTTATTTATTTATTAAAACATAACATATTAAATGAGTAAACAAATAAAAACAAACTAACTAACTAACTATCTAACTAACTAACAACTGGCTATTGTTGCCTAATCTAGACCATATATACATATATATATATATATATGTATTTCTTTTCTTACCTAATGGTTACTTTGTCCTGGGATATGGTATAATATAAATTGAATGATGGAAATCATTACTTAAATACATTTAATTTTAGAATAATCACCAGAAAAGTAGTTATACTTTTATTATTTACAGCAACATGCTGGTTGCCTAAATTATTACAAGGTTTGTAGTGCATGGTTTACATGTGTATGGTTAGCAATATTTCAAGAAGTAACCATGGAAGATAATGCTTTGAAACAATCAATGTCAATTTTTTAATTTTATATTAATCTATAATGATGTCTAAACATGTAAGTCCGGCCAAAATTGAGTGAAAGAAGGACAAGAAACTACTCAACCAAAAATTGTTCCTCGTTAAGCACTTTTTTACAATTAAAGTGGCAAGCAAACAAGTATAATAATAGAAACAGCAAATAATATCCACATTCCCAAGCTAAAGCCCCCCACCCCCACCCCCATTCTCATCTTTTACTGGGTCAACGATTTTGGCGGGAGAGAGGATATGCCACGTGGGTGCCACATGGATATATTCTCCACTGGAGCCCCTGTAAACTAATTTATTTGACTTGTTTTTATTTTTTTTTATTTTTATGTTTGTGTCCAGGGTTCCTGGTTTCCCTCAAGGCTGTACATGCCAGTCACTGTGCAGTACTTAATTGGTTGAGGAGCAATTGCTAAGCATAGAGGAATGAGGGGAAAGCGAATCAGAATGGCACCTTTTGTTTTGTTCTAACTACCACTTTACCACTCTTTATGGGGAAGGAAAAATGGGAGGAATTTACATACACATATAGATAGATTGGTAGATAGATAAATACACACACACATTCATGGAAAGATTGCCATGAATATACACACTTCATGTTGACAAGGTAAATTATACACAATACATGTGGAGACTTATGAAATAGAGTTTATGAATTAGTGATGCTTTTGAACTGGCTTGAAAGCAATCTAATCCAAGAGATGGAAGTCTTGTTAGTGGAAGTTGTGTTTCTCCATGTATTGTACTCAAATTCTTTAACCTCAATTCCCTGAAATTGAAACATGTCTCAGTTCTTGCAATGTATTGTCAGAGAGACTTTGTGAAGCTGAACATGACCAACACAAGATTTGTTATTACTGTTTACTTTGATAATATTATAAACAATTGCTATAACAATCCTCTCTTAATGCAACTACAGATCCTCTTGGCAGTTTGCATCTTTGTTCATCTTGCTAACTGCGCTTCAATTTGTGGAAGTTTCAAGATATGATCTGCTTATATTTAAGATTCTTTGAATTTGAGCAAAATTTTTTGTACTATTATTATTATTATTATTATTTATTCATTCATTAGAAGAATATAAATGTATGCATGAAGATGTCATGAGGTACTGTCAACATGCAACATAACATAAAATGTCTGCTTTTTCAAATTCATGTGGTGTTTGTGATTATTATCATTTTCATGTCCTCCATTGGAAATGTGGTCCACTGTTCTTTTTTTTGAGAAAAAGCAACTAAACCTCAAAACACCTCATATCAATTGGAAAAATCATGAATGAAATGAATTGCTAAATTTATCAACCTATTTTCAAGAATTTTGCTTCAATGCACACACTAAATACACATTGGTCATTGTGATTGGGTACAGTTGGTAATATTATAGTCCCTTTCCTGAATGTTTGTTCCAGTGTTTTTGACCAATGTTAAAAGTCCAGGAAAAAAGCTGTTGTGTTATTATTACAGAAAAATTAGAAAAAAGGATTTTGCACAACAGACAAAAAAATAACACACACACACATGCATATATATATATATATATATATATATATTACAGTTTATAACTTGGGATCATAAGAAATGATTTTTGAAGCTTCACATGAAATCCACAATGGACGTCTTCAAACTTTAAAATGCGAAATGCATTTGAGGGAAAAAGATCAAATAAGATTTGCAAGAACTGTATGTTTTCTCAATGGTATGGAACTTTGTTACTACACATCAAGAACAAAAAGAAAACATGATTCCATAGAAGAGACAAACAATTCAAATAGAAACAAAGAACATAAGTAAGCATTTTTGTTAGAAAAACAAACACTTTTAGCTCATTCACAAAACTATTCAGTATAAATCATGAATGACATCTTCAAAGTGCCGCAGCATTTAGTAGAGTTTGCATCAAAATTACACAAACTCTTTTGGTGCAAACAAAAATATATGTGTATCTACACAAATAAATAAATATATATACATACATACATACATACATACATATATGTGTGTGTGTGTGTGTAATTCTCCCCTCACATACATAAACACTGGAAGCAGCCAGAATGAAAAGGGATGCCAAGTTTGAAGAAGGTGGCAGAATGTTTGAAATGCAAGGTCCATGTTCCAGTTGTAAAGAATGCTGCATATAATCAAAGACCCACAGCTCAGAAACTTGGTCCATTGCTACTCCTCCTTCTCAACAGCTAAAGGAGCAGCAGCAGCACAGGAAGAAGAGAAAAGCAAAGATGCCTTAACTGGATTCTAATCCCCACCTGTCCACATCCTTTTGCTCTTTGTAATATGCTGCTGTTGCTGCTGCTTGGGCCATGACACTGTGCCAGGCCAATCTCACATGTTATTTATTCATGCTTCCATATCTTGAGTAAAAAAATAAACATCTATATATATATATATATATATTCATGGTTCAACCACATTTGTTATTGTTGGTTATTCCACATCTTTAAGTAAGAAGAAACCCCACAGAAATGGATGTAATGGTCTCATACTATTAGCATCATCCTTGCTACTAAAATCACCCCAACTGATGAAGGTTTGTTTTCAGCAAACCTACAATCACTTTGGGGTGTAAAACCCAACTGGTGAAAATTCAATGTTGCTTTTATTGTTTTCATTTGAAAGGGAGTTTTTCTATAGCATTTATGCATTTATTTTCCCCATTGAAGTGTTTCTATTTTTTCTTCATCTTGACATACATGACTTACCCTTTGTTTGAAACCTTGTAGAGTCTAATGCAACTGTCAGAATCAAAATTGGTACCTTAGTTATTTTATTCTTTTTGTTCATATGCTTTTGTTTTTTTTCTTCCATCTCCCACTAAGTTTAATTTGAAGTGAAACAGATGTCTCATTTCAAATCAATAAATATAGTTCACAATGAAATGAAACAATTAGAATTGTACAGTGTGTTATGTGTACAAGGCATAAGGGACAGCTACAGGAGCTTCTAGTCCAAATTTTAAATAGCACTTGGGTTTGTATAGTTGAAGTCCTGCGATCCAGCAGGCTAAAAATACAAATAAAGTTGACAATTTCAAAGTATTTGCCTAAAGCATGAAGAATTGAGTTTAACACTTTGATCATCTATAATTCCACAGAATATTTGTACATGCAATCTTAAGCAGTGTAGATGGTAATTAGGCTAAAACAGCAATGAGTAATGAATAACATCTTGTTTGAAAATGGTATGTAATATCATAAGAATGAATTTAACATATTAATGACAGTACCAAATAGATACAATGCTGCATACCACAGTTTGCATGCAACAACATTCCTTTCATCATTGATAATTTCATCAGGGCCTGTCTAACACATCTTTCTCTCTCTCTTAGTTATTTTAATTTTTTTGTTATATCTATATCTATATATATATATATATGTATAAGAAAGTTTCCTCTATTTCCAATAGTATTACTACCACAGCAGACCATAAAAAAAAAATGTAGAATCTTAATTTACGTGTACAACAACCTTAAGATATCAAGTCATCAAATACTCTAGAGGAAGTTGAGAGACGTACCTAAAAACAATATTTAGCTGACACACACACTACAACTGGAGAATTGACTGCTGGAACTTTTGTTGACAAATTTCACCACTCATTCACATCCACTTTAATATATATATATCTATATATATATATATATATATATTTATGTATATACACATTTATGTAAGGGAATATTAAATAGACCCATGTTTTTATTAAATAGATCCACCCTTGATGAAGATTATGGTAACCATGAGTGTGGTTGATTTTTATTGGTTGCAGATCCAAAAGTGAAGAAATGAATCTAGAGGTCATTTTTACTTTTCATGATGGTTAGGATAGGTTGATTTGGTAAAAACTTGGGTCTATTTAACATTCCCTTATATTTAATATTATACTCCCACAGCAAAAGAACTCAATTAACTGGGCTGTATTAATGACCATCCACGTTCTAGTGACGGAGACAAGACAAATGAATGAATAAAAATGGATGAAAAATTTCCTTTTCTGTCCAGAGGATTGGAATCAACGATTCCCTTCCCACATGCAGGTGCCAGTCGGATTGGCATCTCGAATCAACAGATGAAGAGACTGCAGCTAGCCACATCAGCATCCTATAATCGGACGGCCAGAATCACCGTCAGCGGGATCGCGTTCCATCGTGGCTTTACCGCAGTTGTCATAGGGCCGGTCGTCAAGCGGGTATATATTGACGGGTCCCAACTTGACCCGACCCACAGGCGGTGCCAGGAGTCGAAAGTCCTGAGGAAGCATGGGTGCGTGTTCCAATTTGGGCGGGGCTCCGGAACACGCGATGGGGAACCCTCAACGAGATCGTGGGGCCCGAGATCGGAGGCCAATCACGGGCGGCAGGGTCGGGCCGGGTGGGGGGTGAATATGCGTCGTCACCTCTTCACAGTCTCTAGGGGTTGATTTTTGCAGCAGGCCCATGTGTGTGTGTGTAGGGCCGGCTTGACATCGATCTCGCGTTTGCCTGCCCCCCCCCCCCCCCCCCCCCCCCGAAGCTCCCCTTTCACCACCGTCGTGGATGGATCCCTCCCCAGATCCTCCCTCCTCCTTCACTCCTTCTACCTCAACGTCGTCGTTGTCGTCGTGTTTGGATGATGACAGAGGTGGGAACAGTGCGGTCTGTAGAGGCAGATTGACAGCGATTGCGAGGAAGCAAAAATCAGTGGTGAGCAGTGAGAGGGGGCGTTATTTTACCGCAGGCACCGGGAGTGAGTGAGTGAGCAGCGGAGATAGATAGATAGAGAGATAGAGAGAGAGAGGACCCGCAGGGAAAGTGAGTAGTAGTTCATACATCGAGAGGGGGTTGACGGCGAGTAAGTTGTTGGTGGTTAAGTGGGCGGATTGAAGTGAGTCTGCGGAGGGTTGATTGGGTTTTTAAAATTTTTTTCCCTGGTTCAGGCAGTCAGCGAGGAGGTAGGTCGTCTGATAGCTGTTCGTTTCTGTTTTTGCTATTTTTTTTCTCCCCCCTTTTCTTCTTTTGTTGTTATTTTTTAAAGATAAAAATTATGGAGGGACGGTGCTTTATTCTGGAGGAAGCGGACTTTATTCTGGGTTTTGACGGTTAGGGGGTTCCTGAGCTTGGTGAAACGGTGACTTGGGGGGGTTAGTTGACAAAGAGGAGACGTGGTGGGGAATCATCTTTTTATTTGTATAGGAAGGCGGGGCGGGAAGAGAGGGCGAGTGCGGTGGTTTCACCTGGATTGGACAAGTGGGCATTGGCGGCAGCGAGATTTTTTTTTTTGCCTTTTTTTTCTTCTCGGAAGGGGAAGAGCTGAAGTCGCATGCGGGTGTCAAATGTGTTTTATGCGTTGTGTGGGATGGTTGTGGGGTGGAGGGCGGACTGACGCTCCTGCCGCGGGTAGATCAAGGGGCCGAGGTTCTTTTGTGGAGGTCGGATAAGTTTATATCCCTCTTCTGGAAGATTGAGTGGGTCTGAGAGGGGACTAATAAGATGCAGAGAACTGGACACTACGGACTCTCTGACTCGCCACAGTTCCTAGTGGCGAGGGGGCCTCCGCCTCACATGTTTTCCCTTTCTCATGACAATATTTCTCTCTCCCCCCCAGCTGGCCATGCGCATCAAAGCCATCACTCTCACCAGCACCACCTTCCTCATCACTTTGAGTCGCAACATCTCCACTTTGGGGGCCACCAGATACACCCCAGTCTGCAAGCGCTCCAGCAAATTCATCAAACTCAGTCGCCTCATGCATCCCACGTCCACCGTGCGCAGCACTCACAGCATGCACAACATCCCCCGCACCCGCTGGCACAACTCCAGCAGGTGTCACAACAGTCCGCTCCTCACACACCGGCTTCTCATCAGGATGTCTCCCAGCACCAGCTTCAGCAGGTGCATCAACAGCAGCAGCAGGAGGAGCAACACAAGCAGCATCTTAGGGAGCAACAGCAGGCGCAAGAGCAACAACATGCTCAGGAGCAAATGGTGCAGCAGTTAGGTTTGGGTGATCCAGACTCGCCCGATGCTGCCTCTCCAATCGCGAGTCGACCCTCGCCCACGAATTACAGCAAACTCTTAATGTCTGCACAGCAAGATGATGAAGGACTAGAGGAGGATCGTGGGGGTTCTGGAGGGAATCGTTGGCCTAGAGCTGAGACACTTGCGCTTATACAGATCCGGTCTGACTTGGACTCCAGCTTTCGGGATTCTGGCGTGAAGGGTCCATTGTGGGAGGATGTTTCACGGTAAGTTACTAACCTAGATGTAGTGGTGATCGCTTCGACAAATACTAACAGACGGAATCGGTCCTACAACCTAGTGATCGTTGTTGGCCGTCAAGTGAGTTGTCGAGCTATGAACACATGTTATTATACAGAAAATGTCTCTTTTGCAGTTCGCACCTCAGTGGCGAGAGTTAATGCAATGTCTATGAGTGGCTTCTAAGGGCCTGTACCAATTTTTAGGTGTTTTATGCTACTCCCAATAAAACATATGAAACATGTATCGTTCAGGTAACAATTTTTTGGTATCGCAGAAAACTCGCGGAAATGGGATACAACAGAAGTGGGAAGAAATGCAAGGAGAAATTTGAAAACATTCATAAATATTATAAGAAGTCCAAGGATGGCAGGGCTGGTAGACAGGACGGTAAAAGTTACCGTTTTTTCGCTCAACTGGACGCGCTATTTGGTGGTCAACAGACTTCTACGCAAGTAGACACTGATACAGCTGCTGCTGTTCTATTAATAGGAAACGCCCCGCCACTAGGAATATCACCAACAGATCAGGACCTGAATGCCTCTGTCCAGAGGCCATTGGAAATTAGTACAGGTATAACAGTGTCGAGGTCCTCCGGCGATGATAATGATGACGATGACGGACCTGGAAGTGGGTTGCGCGACAATCAACAGATGACGAAGAATAGGAAGAGAAAGCTGATGGAGGATGGAAAGACTGGGACCCACAAGCTGCAATTCTTCGAGACACTGATGAAGAACATGATTGATAAACAGGAGGCCATGCAACGAAAGCTCTTAGAAACAATGGAAAGAATCGAGCAAGATAGGCAAGCGAAACAGGAATCGTGGAGAAGGCAAGAGATGGCTCGATGGCAACGAGAGCACGCACTTCGGGCTCATGAGCACGCTTTAACTACTGCAAGAGATGGTGCATTAATATCTTTCTTGCAGAAGGTAACTGCTCATAATGTGCAGATTCCAAAGTTTAACACTCCACCACAAGTAGTGATTCCACCTACTAGAGAATCAGAAGAGTGAGCACCTTGCAGAGTCTTTTTGTGAAGTTGCGCTGCAGAAGTTGATTGTCGTTGTGCTTTTGCTCGACATTATCAATGACATGAAGTCAAAGGAGAGGGTTGCATCCTGGTGGATATGTCGAACGAACTCGGTTTCTCTGAAAATATATGGCGACGAGTAGGTGTTTGACGTCACCTAAATGAATATTGGTGAGTGGAATCTTCACTGTGGTAACGATTGGTTAAGGTAGACAGGTCGAGATTTGAGTTGTACCCTTCGGCGTTGAAGTTGCTCAAGTAGGGTTGTGCGGATTTTAGAAGACGACGCGTTAAGTTAGCGCGGGCGGCTGCACATGACTCGGCTCTATGAACCCAATTTTCAGCCTGTAATGTCAGACACCCTAACTGGACAGGGACGTTCCATTGGTATGGTCTTCTTTACAACCAAATCATGGTCAGGCGTCATCTAGGAACCTAAGTTTGAAGGAGGTTTAGAAGATGGTCATCTTGCGGTTTGTGCGTTTGGACCGGGATGTCGGCATATTCTTCACGTCGTTGGCGCTCCAATCGTAGTTTCCAAGCTCATGAAGTGGCACTGTAAGTGAATGTTGTGTCTGGGCTAACTTTTTTATTTGTTTAATACCTAGTGATCTGTGTGTTGTTCGAGTAGCGTGCACTGTTACGATTGTTCGAGATCTGTTTTCCTTACCTGTTACGTTGTGTTTCTTTACTGAAAATTTTGGTTCTTTTGCAGGCATTTCTGAACCGTTTTACAGTGGAGTTGAGTTGGTTAATTGAAAGCATTTGGTTAAATCTTGTTGATTGTACAGGAGAATTACATGCAAGGTGTATAGTTGAGAGAATGTAAGATATCAGGTTAGCTTGTAGCATAAACCTTGGGCTTTGATGGAGTGGGGTTAGAATCGCACAAGCAGAAAAAGGAACCGTTGCTTGAATCATGTATTGGAACATTATTGTTACTGCCTGGGGGCGATCTACCGGATTGTTAGAAGCTTAGCCCGTCGGTCTTTGTTACAAATATCAGTTCTGGGGAACTTCTTTGTTGTTTCTTTCCCAGTCAAATTTATAATTTGAGCCAATCATCAAGGTTCAAGATGGCTCAATCTTTACTTGCATGTCTAAATGAGGAATTTTATCCATGTATGTATATATTTATATGTGTATGTTGTGCAAGTAGATTTTTCAATGTTAGTGTTGGTTGCTCGGAGCATGTTATATTCCGTACATTTGTAGTACTTGCGCAAGTCATACAAGGAGATTGGCACCAGGTCATCTTTTGTGCAAAAAGTTTGCAGGCCAATTGTACCTTGTTGACAAAAGATGTTTATGAAGTCAAGGATTCTTGCAAGCGGTGGGAATTGAGGGTTCCAAAAGCACGGAGGATTAGCAAGTAAGTAAGAGAGAAATATATGAATGGCTATTGTTAGCCTACACGTATATTTCTCTATGTCAGAATTTGTGTAGCTGTTTAGTCCCGATCATACATGACCTGAGCCATACATATATTTCTCTCTTGCTATGTTTCAAGTTTATGTAGTTGACTTCAGCTGTTTATGAAAGATCATACTGAATTTACTCCCTTAAAGAATCGTTAGCCTTCGTGTATACACAGTATTGTTGGATGTTAACTTGTTTATAAACCTTGTGATTTTTCTTTTGCTTTCGGATGCTACTGACTTCAACTTAGTAATCACATCGTGAGGCATCAAGTGTATTCTCTATCTAGACAATGCTAAATGCAACGAGGGTTCAATTTTTTACCGCGTCTTACTCTGGCTCAGGTCATGCAGTCCACAGTGACGAGTTCATTCTGAAACGCTGTCGGTAGGCATTATCTTGTAAGAGTCAAGCCGATGAGGGCGATACTCGTGAATAGAAGTCAAATCACTTGGGTGAAATGGCATACAGGAATATTCAGCGTACCCAAAAGGCCGGTATTCGGCAGGTCGATCTTTGGTAATCAATGCAGGAGCCACGCCAATCATTGCATCGCTGGTTGTGTTGCAAAAGTATGCCATAGAGAGACGTTGCTTGGAAGAGTTTGTGACTACACGATGCAACATGCTCTGAAACCGTCCGTTACTCATTGCCTGGTGATTCATTAAAGAAACAACAATTGTCTATTAGATCAGGCTACATGCATCTGCACGCTGTTTTCAAACGTCAGTGTAAAGGTCATTTATCTAATTTTGAGAATTTGAAACTGGAAAGAAATCTTGAGGTTCGGGATACCTTGAGCATATCGCCCACATTGACCACCAGAGAGAACGGCACAGTAGCCACACCAAGCCACTGCCCATTGGTTTGGATTTGCAGCCCTCCCACAGAATCTTGTTGCAGGATGGTCAGCATACATGGGTCGCGATGTGCAATAAGTCCCCACACCTTGTCTGAACATGGGCATGTGGGGTAGAAATTGAACCGCATCGTGCCTCGTTCACCTCCTGTCGGTAGCTGCTTCCTGAAGGTTGTCTGGTAGGCCCAGACCTTCGGCTAGCAAACACAGTAGGCAATGGCTAAGGTCCCCTAGTCCCTTCATGTGCGCGTACTAATCTGCGCTGCGCGGAGGCGAATCACATGCACCACATCTGTCAATTTTCGCTGCTCTTGACGTAGTTCATTGCGGCATCGCGTCCAGAATCATTAGCTGCTCGCAGGTCTGCAGAATCTTAGATTCGGAGATGCATTGATTGGAATATCGATTTGGAATTATGTGGCAATTAAACCGATTCATCGCTTGTGGTCTGATCGTCAAAGGGATCCTCTTAACCAAATGAAAAAATCTCACCGGAATTCTTGAAATTCAGCGTCGACAGGGAATATTCCCAGCAGGACGTTGCGCATCCTTGTTTCGTCCCAGTCAAGCTGCAGCGACTCTGCCCACCAGCGACTAGCTAAGAACACGGGGCTGCCGGGGACGAAGCCACACATGCCCGGCGAGAGCCCGCGCCGTGCCTTCAGCTTGACATCCATAGGGAGGTTGAAGAATCGACACAAATGATTCCTAAGACGCTGGATAAGGTCGGCACAGATGCCGTGGTTGGTCACGAAGAAGAAACCTAAGCTTTCCGCGGCCTGGATCATCTGGCAGAGCAGCAGGTTTCTATTGGGGTTATACAGGTCGATGACTGGAATGCTGCTATTATTTGGGTCGAAGGCGTCGTCAGGGATGTTAATGTGGTCGTCTTCTGGCAGCATGAAGTCCTGCAGGCTGATTTCGCCATCGTGGTATTTTTCCTTGGAGTATTCGGACTTGTCTCCATTGAGTTCCGTGTTATGGCTAGCCAGGTCTGAGCTCTTGACGTCAACGTCATCGGTTGTCGTTGTGTTAGCACTAACAGACGCCATTCGTACATGCCAGGTTTTAAGACTTTCATGAGACCTTCCGATTGCATTTGCTCAGGACAGACCTGTCAGTTCAGCGAAGGATTTGCTGGAGCTTGAAGGTCAAAGTCATTGGAGGTGAAGATAGACAGTGTCGAGAGTTGGCATCAGACAATCGTAGAGAGCTGGTGTGTATAGCAAACAACTTTTTAACATCAACATGAACGTAAGAAGAGATGTAGTCAGCATGATTTCCAGTGGAAAATATCCCCTACATTTAGACAAACTTGAGTGAAGAAATAAAGTTGGGGCGAAATATGACTTTGACTTCTGCACCCTACACTTCTCCTTCGGAGGCAACCCATAACATCAAGTGCTTGAGCAATCTGCCTTCAGATCTGATATAAAATTTCCTAGCCATCGACAGCAGTAGCACCACAGTTCACATCCCAAGAGAGGAGAAAAAAAAGAAAAAGAAAAAAAGAAAAGTACTTTTGTGCATATAGGGCAAAGCATCCATACAGCGGAAGAGCAATATTTCAGGCCTTTAGTGCAGACGAATCCACTTTAATCGGCAGCCAAACGCTACATAATGTACAGAAAATGGATGCATGCGCCTGGTCCAGCAACTCCTTCATGTCCGTAACCTAAGAGATGCGGCATACTTCTATTGCGCTTTCAGGGTGCAGGATATGGTGGTGGTTGAGGTCAATTACTCACAAAGCATGTTCTGGTGACTCCTCGAGCCCAATGACGATACTGTGAACTCGTTGTCACTGAGCTGGCGAGTCGTTTCTCCACAGCGCTAGCACGTGATAGAAGCTGCGAAGACAACCTAATCCATCCTCCTCAGCGAAACTCCCCTTTGTACACACAGTACACAGCCACTGTTGACTGGTTGTATCTCGGGTTTCCCTGAATCTCTTTCACTAACGGTATTTAGTTGAGAGCCCACACTAGCATGTGTCTAAAGGCTGCTCTTGTGAGCACCGGAACCTACTCTCTGCGATGCAGAAACTTTTCAAATGGTCATTGAGAGGTCGTTAGAGATTCTTCGAGAGGGAACGTGCACATCCGTGGTGACGCCCACTTCGGCCACGGTACGAGCTAGCAAGCAGTACTAGATAGAAGCGGGACAGTGGGTGTAAATGCAGATACTTATGAACAGCCTCACACTCTCTATCTCTCTCTCTGTCTCTGTGGGTGTGGTGCTGCTCCACCCACTGGATGCGCGGCGTGATCCCAGCTGGTCTGGCCCCCTTTGGAAGCTTGCTCTGCTTTCAGTCAGTCAACCCATCTGAGCCTGCATCATCATTATGCTTTCGTCCCCTCAGTCTGACTCACGCTTCTCATCACCCACATCCACCGCTTGATTTATAGCTAGATTTCTTTCTTTCTGTTGAGAATGTTTAGAAAGACACAAGAGTAATAGTAAGTCATACACACACACAAGAGTAGTAGTAAGTCATACACACACACATGAGTAGTAGTAAGTCATACACACAAGAGGATTTCTAAGGAGAGAGAGCTTCACACACACACTTCTATTAATCTGGTTGTGTCTCGTATACAAGAAGAGAAAAGAAGAGAGGATAAACAATACTTCTCTACTAGACTCTAAATACTGTAGCTATGGTAATTACTGTAGTCTACAGTAAATATTATGGAGAGCGCCAGCTACATTTATTGATCTCAACACTCCTCTTCGTTCATCATAATATTTACATAATATAAAATTTGTATTGAATTATGATCTATACTTTTCTGTGATCTTGCAAGATCAACAATTGTTGCCTCAGTAAAACCTTATCTAGGAAAACCTTATTTTATTTAAGGACAAAACCATAGATGAAGGAAAAAGAGTACAACATCATTTTCTTTAATTATTTAAAGAGCTCATTAACTTTCTTATTCAAGAAAAATAAGTCGCCACATACCAATGCCATAAGTAAGTCGACGATGGTTGCTTAATGGGAGAGCTTTGGTGAAGAGATCAACAAGGTTATTTATAGACTCAATTTTCTTAATTATAAGTGCTTGATCAGTAATCAAGACATGAATATAATTAAAATACTTTGGATCAATATGCTTTGTCCTATCGCCTTTAATGAAACCAATTTGCATCTGTGCAATTCAAGCACTATTATCTTCATGCAAGATAGTTGGAGAATCATCATATGAAAATCCACAAGTTGTTTGAATGAATTTATCAATTGATCGCAACCAAATACATTCTCGAGATGCTTCATGTAAGGCAATAATTTCTGTATGGTTGGATGAAGTTGCAGTTATTGTTTGTTTCACTGATTTCCATGATATTGGAGCTCCATGTCTTAAAAATACATATCTTGTTTTAGATTTAGCTGTTGCAATATCAGATTTATATCCTACATCACAATATCCAACCAATTTTGGATCTGCAGATTTTGTGTAGTATAATCCCAAGTCTTCAGTACCTTTTAAATAACATAATAAATGTTTGATGCTATTTCAATGTCGTAGTATTGGACGGGCACTATGTCTTGCAAGAATACTAATTGCAAATGCAATATCTGATCTTGTAGATGTAGCTAAATACAAAAGTGCTCCAATTGCTGCAAGGTATGGATATTGGTCTCTCAATATTTCCTCCTCCTCCTCGCATGGACAGTATAAATCATGACCATCACGACCACGTCCAATCATTGGTGTGGACAATGAATAAGCATCAATCATATTAAATCTTCGTAAGATTTGTCTAATATATATTAGTTGGCAGAGAAAAATACTTACATCTGTTAGATGCATAATCTGAAGACCAATGCAGAAAGTTATTTTTCCTAGCATTTTCATCTCAAATTCACGTATTAGTAGGTTAGTAGCTGTAACACATGCAGATGTAGTGTCCATTAGGTTAAGATCATCAACATATACAGCGATGATCACAAAACTAGTTTTATCTCGTTTGATAAACAAATAAGGGATTAGTGGATTACTTATAAAATTATTTGTAATTAAATAATCTTGAAGACGTTGATACCACATTCGTCCGGATTATTTTAAACCATATAAGGCCTTATATAATTTAATACTATAATATTTTCCTGAAGCGGGTTGATTTGGAGTTCCTATTTCTAAGCCAGGTGGAACTTTCATATTAATATTTGCATCAAGAGAACCATATAGATATGTAGTAACTACATCCATCAGATGTATGTCAAGAGTGGCATGAACTATCATTCCAATAATATATTGAAATGTAATTGAATCCATGACTGGAGAATATGTGGATTCATAATCAATGTCAAATCGTTGAGTAAATCCTTGAGCAACAAGACGAGTTTTATAGCAGATTATTTGGCCTTGAGCATCTCGCTTGTGTATTAATACCATTTTATATCCCACAGGGCGAGATGTAAGAGTGTCTACAATTGGACCAAAGACTTTTCTCTTACGCAAAGAGGCATACTCCTCTTCAATAATAATTTTCTATTTTGACCAATCTGAGCGATGCATCGCCTCTTCGATGGTTTGAGGTTCAGGATCGTCTTCCTTGCAAGAAAGGGCTTCTATAATCATATATGCAAATGATTCATCTACTGTAATAGATGGTTTGTTCCAATCGTCCATGCTAGAGAGAAATACAATTCTCTAAGATAGATGATGTAAAATTAAATATAATGGGAGGCCGAATCACAATTCGGTATAAACCATTTTCTGTAGCAAAAGCTTTTTCAACAACTTTATGATTCTTCGTAAGAACCAAAACCTCTTTTTTATTTAAAGTGGTAGTCAATAGGTGATAATCATTAATACGCTGTCGTGTTGTAACACGAGTATATCGTGAAAATATAAAGAAAGGGGACTTTTATTAATGTTCAGTTACTTCGAATATTAGGAGTAACAACCGATTCCAGTGCCAATATTCAGGGGCCAGTTCAGACACCCCGTCACAGTCGATCAGGGCATACTTACCAATAACAAAATGCTCCGTTCGAGTCCAATAGTGGAAGTCAATAGAATCGAAAGGATTAAATCAATGACTGAGCGAGCTTGACGCGAAGGACCAATTTGACCCAATTACGGGAACATCCAGGTCTTACTATGGACCTCTTAGCCAATATGAGACCTGAATTGGTCGGGCAACTCAATATGGTCCCGATTACGGGAGTTTCGATTCCATTTCAGGCTGTCCTATTCTCTGTGCCGTTTCAGGGAACGTTGTTTCCGGAAAAAGAACCTTTTAAAAGGCAAAAAATGGAGGAGAAAGCTCTGACGGCGGAGCCAATTCTGGATCCAAGATGGAAGATTGAAGAAATTCAGAGGCTAGGATTTGAAAGAGGAGAAGAATTAGGATTAAAAGGGAGGATAGGTTAAGAAATGAAGGGGAGAGAATTAGGGATTTTTTAAGGGTTAGAGAGCTAACTTCATGCTTTGAAGGGGAGAAAAAAGACAGAGAATTGGGGTTTCTTTTTTTTTCAGAGGGTTTTGGAAAGACTGAGGAAATCGTTGCTGAATAGTCGATATATTGTATTGGTGAATTGGGGTTTTAATGAAGTAGGTGTGATTACTCTTGACTGTTTTGTGAAATCGAAGTTATGTCTGTGATTGAAGAATTAAAAGGGTATCTATAGGATTGAATATGCGGAGTGAATGAAATTTTTTGGGTTAATCTAATAAGACAGTCAGTGGATACAAGATCGTGAGTATAAAGCGGTATCAAAGATTAGCAGTTTGGGTTGTTTGAGGTTCTCTGTAACGTCTAGAGACCTATCGGCTGGGCAAAAAGGATTTCGGCGAGCAGTCGAAAGACATCCGTATAGATTTATGATATATTCTTATAATTGTTTATATTTCAACAGCAAAAAAACTAATAGACTGCTTGAATATTAGCGAATCTCCATACTACCTTCTACAGCAAGATGCCCGATGCGTTCTCGAGCAAGAAAGCACGTAATATAACAACGCACATCTTAATAGCTGATCAGACTTCGAGGTGTTGAGGGTGCAAACATCGCATGTTTATATTTTATGATGGAACCCACAGGTAATATTACCATCGCTGTGTCTTCTTGGAAACAAAATGCATTTGCTCCAGCCATGGTCATCATATTTTTAGTTTACCAAGTTGAAGATTTTTCAATAAAAAATTATCTATTTCGCAAGATAGTATGTGTTGTTGCAAAATCAATGAGCGCATCATTTGATTCATCATTAGACGTTCTATCATTCATATAAGCCTCTAAGTCATCAACATCAATTGAATCCATGGACGCATCCATGGTATGAACTTCATGAGCCTCATCTTGTAATTTCTTATTTTCTTAGAATATTTTAATAAAATATTTTGAAGTACGGCATGCATATGCTAAATGTCCAATCATTCCACACTTATGGCAAGAACGCATCTCTGATTTTTCTTTTCTATTATAATTAATAATAGAACATTTATTCTTTCTATATGGGTAGAAATGGTCTTGACTATGACTACCCTGATACTTATGAGCACGTTTCCTATGTTTATATAATTTCTTCTTAGACTTTGAAATATTAAGTGCATGAGATTCTGGAACTGTAGTTCTAATAGGACAAGCTTCTGCATTGCGTAAGAATAGCTCATTTTGCTTCTTCGTAAGAAATAGATAGGACATGAGATCAGAATGACTCGAAAATTTCATGTTCCTGTATTGTTGTGCAAGTACAGCAGATACAGGAGGAAATGTAGAGAGAGTTTTCTCAATCATTTCTTCTTCAAAAATGCTTTATCCACATAATCGTAATTGTGAGACAATACTATATATTTTACTATTAAAAGTATTTAAATTTGGAAAATCCAAGACACGTAAATGTGTCCAATTATGACATGCACGCGGAAGAAAAATGATCTTTTGATGATCAAACCTAGATTTAAGATTCTTCCAAAGTTTTGTAGGATCTTCCATTTTCAAATATTGATGTTGTAATGCAGATACAAGATGACGAGAAGGAGAAGAAGTACTTTCCAACGAATAGCAAGAGATATAGAAATACTTGTTGTAGGAGATTCTTCAAACATAATGGCATCTGAGAGTTATTTTACAAATAAATTTGCTTTTGCCATTTTTACCCATAATAGTTAATTGTTTCCATCCACAGTCCATGGTAGAAATAAAAGAGCTTGAAAATGTTGGGATGCACTAGTAATAGTTGGAACCATAGTAGAAGCAGTTGAAGATGTTGAAGCACTCAGTATAAATAAATTTGTAAAGAAAAT